TGTTAGGGATTGATTGTAATGACTTGGGATGATATTACTGTTTGGTTTTAATCGATTGAGACATGCTTTATTGAGTCAATTGAATCTTGATCAAATTCTCTTGATTTCTGCTTTAACCTATGATAGATAGAATCTGATTAGGTTAAGAGAGCTTCCTTGATTGATAGTGGTGAATTGGTTGTGCGAGAGTCAATCAATTTACTGCTTTGTACTGGAATCTAATTCCAGTAGTGAATTTCTGTTCTTACTGCTTCAGCTTTCTATCCCGGTGAAGACTAGTCGTCTGCCGGGTAGTTAGACTGAGAGGGCTTGGTCAGCTTAAGAGATTCCAAGCTACTGCCGGATCTTCCGCAGTCTAATCAACAGTAAATCAACCCAGGGTAAATTGCAATTGAAACCTAACTAAAGAGCTAGGGGGATTCATTCCCGAGTGACTCTTTCCTGCTTAAGAAAACCGAATAATTTCCTGCTTTATTTCTGCTTTTAGTTTAAACAACAATCACTTACTCTAGTTGGCTAGATAACAGAGAATCACTGAGTAAGCAGTAGATCTAGACCCCGGGTTGATAATATAACTTGCCTGTTACTACATTCCCGGTCTGCGATTACACTTGGTCGCAGATTGGTGTTGTGTTTTGGCGTGTCACTTGGATTTGTTCTAAAGGATTGAGATCCTTGTTCCTATCCATGCCGCACATCTCCAAGGCTATATCGAGGGGGCGTGATCTGAAGCTTGTACCTGTAGTTGACACTCTTATTTGACCAAACAGTTTGAACCATATTCTTGTGTTAATTTGAGTTCTTCTAAAAGGGTTTTGTTTCAGCTTCAGTTAAGGTAGAACAAAGGAAAATCTTAGTTTGCGCATCACATACTATTCCATGGTAGTTAACAGAAGCTACACCATAAGCCGACGGCTGTGAATCGTCACGATCAGGGGCGGAGGCAGAGCTGACCTAGGGAGGTCAACTGCACCACTTTGGAATTAGAAATAAACACAAAAATTATAATTATATATTATGTAGGGATGAGAGAACGAACTATTGACCTCCCATTCAATAGCAGCCGTTTCTGCCACTACGCCACCTACAAGCTTTAGAAATTAATGAACATTTTTTTTTATTTAACTAAGTATCTGAGACTGCATAAATTAACTCACGACACTGCCTATTCCCCAAGCCCAGACAGAATCCCTAATACCTTCGATTTTCTCCCAAAATAGAAGACCCGCAGCCGCAGCTCGTCCATGTACAGAGCAAAACTCCCACAAGGCCACAATCTCATTCTCAAAGACCAAAATCCATTGATCGAGGCTCCAACGGCTGCTTGGACTGCCATCATTGGCATCCTCTTGCGTGGGCGGCTCTTTGATTCCAGTTCCCATTCCGAATCTGCCTTCCTTTCTCTATTGATCGGTGAGTGTTCTTTGTCGCTTTTGATTTTGACAATAGGTTGTTTGGCCGCCAATAATGCTTGTACTGCCTCCTTTTGTTGTCGGTGCTCATCCCCTCTTAGTTTTTATCGGATTCCCTATCTTAAGAGTTAAGATGATTTCATTTTGTCTAAACTCTCCATAGGAGTTGGTTTCTATTTGGCAGTGGCGGCTTTGTAGTTTAGGAGTAATGGTTTGGTTTCTATTTGGTAATCCATATGTGGTCATTTCATATGTTAATACCAAGGAATTGGGATGGTGGAAATTGGATTGGGACTTGGTAGCAGGGGCATACCCCTGTTTATTTTTAATGTGTTCTTTGCTTATAAATTATGATGTAGTTGTGTAGAATGTGTCCTAATTACAAATTCTTTGTTTGCTTTGGCTTTGAATTTGTAGGATGCTATTATGGAGAGATATTATCCGAAGAAGCCTCGGATAGCTACGACTTCCCATGAGCGTGAAGATAGTGAATTGAATTCATTATCACCTGGACATGATTCTAATTCTACTCCATCAACACCATCAGTGTCACAATCTCTCTTGGTAAATCACTCTACTCCTAGCATTGCATCTAGAGAAAATGAGCTTGATGTGAACTCTTTGAAAGCTGATCCGGGGTTAAGAGAACAAGTACCATTATTTAATCCTAATGTTCAAGATATGATCAGAAGACATTATCTTCAAAAAGGTGTTTGTCAACCCAATCATGATTTCCTGTCTAGAGATATTGGGGGAGTTCATCGAAGCTTTAAGCCTTCTTGGTACAAAAAATATAATTGGTTGGAATACAGTATTACAAAGGATGCTGCATATGTCTTGCATTGTTACTTATTTAAGAGTGATGATAGTAAGAAGGGTGGAAGTGCTTCTTTTATGTCTGAGGGCTTTAGAGCTTGGAATAGAGGAAATGAGGGTTTTGAGAAACATGTTGGTCATGTCAATAGTGAATACAACAAAGCTGTGAGAAAAGGCGAGGACTTGATGAAACAGTCTCAAAGCATTGGAGTTTCTTTATGTAAGCAATCAGATCAAGCAAATATGGATTATAGAATTCGTTTGCAAGCTTCAATTGATTGCATCAGACATTGTGTGTGCCAAAGGCAAGCACTTCGTGTGCATGATGAATAAGAATCTTCAAAGAATAGAGGGAATTTTATTGAACTACTGAAATTTCATGCTCGTGGTAGAGAGGGTGTGAAAAGTGTTCTGTTGAGAAATGCTCCAAAAAACCTTCAGATAACTTCCCCAGACATTCAAAAGGATATTGTCCATGCAATTGCAAGTGAAGTGACCAAGCAAATCATATGCGACATTGGAGATGATGTTTTTTCCATTTTGGTGGATGAGGCTCGTGATACATCAATCAAAGAGCAAATGGCTATTGTGTTTCGCTATGTAAATGATGAAGGATACGTGATGGAGAGACTTCTTGGGATTGATCATGTTTCAGATACTAAAGCCTTAACACTTAAGATGGAAATTGAATCGATAATAGTGAGGAATGGATTGAGCTTGTCAAGAATAAGAGGACAAGGTTATGATGGAGCTAGCAATATGAGTGGGGAAATCAATGGGCTCAAGGCTTTAATTTTGGCAGAAAATTCATCAGCTTACTATGTTCATTGTTTTGCCCATCAACTCCAGTTAACACTTGTTGTTGTTGCTAAACAACATGGTGATGTTAGTGGCTTCTTCACACTTGTTACCAACTTGATAAATTTGGTAGGAGGATCGTGTAAGAGGTTGGACAACATTCGAGAAAGTCAGGCTGCTAAAGTTGTTGAGGCATTATGTTGTGGTGAACTTGAGACTGGACGGGGTTTAAATCAGGAAGTTGGTCTTAAAGGCCTTGTGATACTCGTTGGGGATCACATTTTGAAACACTTCTTAACTTTCCTGTGATATACTCTTCTGTTATTGATTGTTTGGACATCGTCAAAAGTGAGGCAAAAGGTGATGCAAAAGGCGAGGCATATGTCCCATTGATGTGCATCAAAACTTTTGATTTTGCATTCATCTTGCATGTGATGATTAAAGTCTTAGCGATTACCAATGAGTTATCTAAATCATTGTAAAGGAAAGATCAAGACATAGTGAATGACATGCACCTTGTTCGTGGGGCAAAACTTAGATTACAAGATTTGAGAGATAAAGGATGGGAGTCTCTTCTTGATAGTGTGGTTTTCTTTTGCAATAAGGAATGTCTTCCTATTTCCAACATGGATGAGTTATACATTCTTTCTGGAAGGCCAAGGAGAAATGCTCAACAAATCACCAATATGCACCATTACAAGGTTAGTTATTCTATACAGTTGTGGATATGCAGTTGCAAGAGCTTAACAGTCGCTTTGATGAAGTGAACACTAAATTGCTATGTTGTCTGGCTTGCCTAAATCCAGATGATGCATTTGTTGACTTTGACAAGAAAAAGTTGTTAAAACTTGCTACCTTTTATCCTAGTGAATTCTTTGATGATGATATCTTACATCTTGATCCTCAGCTTGATACTTATATCTTTGATGTGAAGACGGATAACAGGTTCACTAAGTTGAAGGGAATTCCTGATCTTTGTAGGGAAATGGTTGTGGCAAAGAAGTTTCGACCATTTCCATTGGTGTATCGACTTGTGAAATTGGCATTGTTGTTACCAGTTGCCACTGCAAGTGTCGAAAGAGTATTTTCCGCCATGAACTACGTGAAGAACACACTACGAAGTCGAATGAGCGATGAAGGGTTGAATGATTAGCATATGTTGAGAGTGACATCTTAGATAGGTTGGATGATGAATGTATTTTACAGACTTTTCAAGATATGAAAACACGTCGTGGATCATTGTACACATTAATAATTTTTATTATATATATTTTTATTATTTCGGACCTACCTTAACCGAAATCCTGGCTACGCCCCTGGTCACAATTTTCTTCTTTCTTTTCCTCGGTATTTTTTTCCATCTTCCTTTAGAGCATAAGGCCCCGATAAATCCCGGCAAGCAACCCATCATAGTGAATCACCATTGGGTGATTGCTTAGCAGTGCAGCGATATGATTTTGGGTTCCCTTGAGCTGATTGGAAGAGAGAGGGTTGAGGGTGGTGGCCCTCAGGCATGAAGTCCATTTCATGAATTCTCTATAGGTTTGCAAACAGATATTTGAGGCCCATGACGCCCTATTCTTAAAAACACATTCATTCCTCGCTTTCCAGTTATTTCATTGGTGTTCTGGCATATTTGAAAAGTAGCATTATGGGAGCACTTATGGTAAAGTCTTTCTTTCGTTGCCAGTGCATTCATGGAACACATCCATATGAAAAAAAATTTAATTTGGGTGTGAGTCGCAAGCTCCAAATCCATATCCAACTATATGGGTTCCTTATGGGTATGACATGGTCTCGCCATTTCTAGTGCGCCGCATCGCCTATGTTGAGGGAAACGGTATCGTTTTCATGTAGATAGGTTATTGGTTCATGAATGAATCGGTAGATAGGTTAGGAGTTAACCAGTGTATAGTTAGTTGAGTTGTATAGAGTCATATATAAAGGGAAAGCAATCTCCCTGTACAAACACTTTTTCCAGTTTATTCCATTCAATCAATTGATCTCGTTAAGACTTTGACATGGTATCAGAGCCATCGGGGCACTTCTTGTCTCCCGCCGTCACCAAATCGAGTACTGATATGTTGTATTTCGGTTGGGTTGAACCCAATCGAGCCGATGCTCACCACTAAAGTCGAGAGGCAGATGGTTCAATTGTTGTTTGTTGTGGGCGCCATGTAATGGTGGCCTGTAGTTTAGCTTGACGTAAAAAAATGTCTTCCTCTATGGTGATCTAAGAAGCCTATCTCCATGGAGAGGCAACAAGGGTATATGAAGGGAACTTTTGGTTTGGTATGTAAGTTGGTTTAGCCGCTCTGTGGTCTCAAGCAAGCTCCCATTGTATGATTATTGAAATTCCATGGAACGATTTTTCAACAAGACTTCAAACAGAGTCAGAATGATCCTTTAATGTTTTTCGGATTGCGGTTTTGCAAATATATGTAGATGATATGATTGTTATTAACATTTACATCTCAAGAATTCAAGACTTGAATGTCTCTTCATTAGGTGTTCAACCTATATGAACATCTTGGTAACGTGTTTTGTGCCCTTGGTCTAGAGGGGCGTACATTAATTAGCACATGGGTTATTTGTTTCACAGGAGAAATATATTGTTAATCTACTGGAATCTCCACAATTTGAAGAATGCAAAGTGTGTGCAACACTAATGGAATATAATCTGAAGCTCAGCAAGGAGAGTGACGAGTTGTAAGATGATAAAGCCACGATATCGAACCTTGGTGTGTATCTCAGTTCATGTGGTGAGTAAGTTTTTGACCAGAGGGAGTCTACCGGGAGAAGGCAATAAATCGGGTAAATTGCAAGTATTGTTACTAAAATTACTAAAATATTTACGTTTGTCACTATAATAATTATAGTATAATTAGTTTATTCTATTCATGGTCACTAAAATTAGTACAACAGTTCAAGTTTGGTTTCTCTCCATTAGTCTCCGTTAATTTTTTCTGATGTGGTAGTCAATTCTCACAGTTGACAGTTAAATGGCTGATGTATCAAATAACAAAAATTAAAAATAATTTGTCACAATTTCCACCTCATTATAACAATTAATTAAACTAAATAAAAAATAATAATTATTATAAATTTTATATTATTATTTTATCGCCACGACACCCATTTAACGGTCAACTGTGAGAGTTGACTGACACATCAGAAAAAGTTAACGGAGACTAACAGAGAGTGACCAAACTTGAATTGTTGTAAATTTTAGTGACCATGAAGGTAATAAACTAATTTTAGTGGAAAATGTGAAATGTTTTAGTAAATCTGTTGGAAAAGGAAAGAGTGAGAAATAGGGGGAGAGAAATATAATTAATGTAGGTTTAATTTTGAAAAAAAAAGTTTAATTAATATGAATTTTTTATTGTCAAAGAGCAACAATAAATGCATAACAGATTCAATATCCAAAATAACTTTAAAAAGTTATTTTGGATATTGAATCTATTATGCATTTATTGTTCTGGTCTGATGAGATTCTAGTAACAAAACTTAGTGATTCCCTGCACCATACTGATGTGGTTGTCTCGTCTAATGACGATAACGAGCGATGGAGATTTACGGGTTTTTATGGGTGGGCTAATCGGGATGAAAGGTTTCAATCTTGGGAGCTCCTTCGTGGGTTGAAAAATGGTTGCAACCTGCCTTGGGTTTGTATGGGGGATTTTAACCAAATCTTGTTAGGAGAAGAGAAGAAAGGAGTAAGGATGATTGATGAAAAAATAGGCTACTGATTTTAGTGAAGCTTTGGAGCATTGTGGCCTCCTTGATTGTGGCTTTACAGGGTACCCTTTTACTTGGGAAAACAACCGTGCTCACGAGAGTTCTATAGAAGAGAGGTTGGACAGATGTCTTGCAAGCTGGGATTGGAAAACTCTGTATCCAAACCATAAATTAAACCACCTGGATCGGTGTGGCTCATATCACTGTCCTATTCTGCTTTATACAGCAGGGAAAGAGGATGAGGAGATTCGATGGGGTTGTGATAGCATCGTATTTGCACGTGTTTTCACTCGGATTTCTTGTCCATTTTGGCTCGAATTGATTGTTGCTTGGCCTATTTTACGCTAGGTTGTGTTGTTTTGCCATATTTCAGGTCCTAGCAAGTACAGAGGTGCATAGGCGCAAGTTTCAGGTCATTCGGAGGTCAGATGGCGAATCACAGAACGAATTACGGGCAGCCCCTGCCAAATTACGACCGTAATTGGTCAGGGCATGCCCGTAAAACAATTGCCGAGCCTTTTCCCCAGAATTTCCTCTCGGTGATAAAATTACGGGCAAGACTCCCAAGAATTACGACCGTAATTCACAAATTACTGGCGGTAATTGTGAAATTACGGGCGTATCTTCTCCTCCTTCAGCTTAATTGAAACGTGCGTTTTGGGGCGAATTACGGGCAGGACGTGATTACGGCCGTAATTCAGCCCGTAATTCGCCCAGAGTCGGGTTTTTGAGGCCAGAATCGAGCCAAGGAAGGGGAGATCGAATTTCTTGAGCAAAAACAGAGTTTTAGAGAGAGAAAGTGCGAAGAACTCACCCTAGAAGCCATCTTGGAGCTGGGTTTCATCAAATCAAGCTTGGAGATCGTCCTAGGAGTGGAAATCATCATCCCGGAGCAGATTATCCTCATCATTATGAGTATGACTACTCCGATTACTGTTTTCTTTTCTCTCTCTATGGAGTAGAACCTCTCTCTCACTTGGGGATGAAGAACCCTAGTTCTATGTGTTAGGGGATTGATTGTAATGACTTGGGATGATATTACTGTTTGATTATAATCGAATGATGCATGTTTATTGAGTCAATTGAAGTCTGATCAACTTTTCCTGATTCCTGCTGCAATCTGAGATAGATAGAATCTGATTAGGTTGCTAGAGTCTCATCATTCGATAGTAGGAGACTGGTTATACGAGAGTTAGCCAGTTTACTGCTTTGTACTGGAATCTAATTCCAGTAGTGAATTTCTGTTCTTACTGCTTCAGCTTTCTATCCCGGTGAAGACTAGTCGTCTGCCGGGTAGTTAGACTGAGAGGGCTTGGTCAGCTTAAGAGATTCCAAGCTACTGTCGGATCTTCCGCAGTTTAATCAACAGTAAATCAGCCCAGGGAATTGCAATTGAACCTAACTAAGGAGCTAGGGGGATTCATTCCCGAGTGACTCTTTCCTGCTTAAGAAAACCGAATAATTTCCTGCTTTATTTCTGCTTTTAGTTTAAACAACAATCACTTACTCTAGTTGGCTAGATAACAGAGAATCACTGAGTAAGCAGTAGATCTAGACCCCGGGTTGATAATATAACTTGCCTGTTACTGCATTCCCGGTCTGCGATTACACTTGGTCGCAGATTGGTGTTGTGTTTTGGCGTGTCAAGTTTTTGGCGCCGTTGCCGGGGACCCTCTAGGTTATTGGGGAAAAGTGAGAATTTGTTACTCTAGCTTTTTATTTTCTGCTTTTTATTTCTTCCACCTGTGTGCCTTCACGGGTTGTTTCTGCTGATTGTGTGCAGGTAGTGCATGACCCGTAGCCAGTCGGGAGATCTATTACCACTAGACCAGGAGCTTGAACGAACCTGCAGAAACTTCAAGCGGGCTCTAAAGGCGCGACTGGCTGCGGAGGAGGCGCTATCACAGCTGCAGTTAGAGGAGAAAGAAGAAGAGATGGCTGAACCAGGGAACCATGCTGTGATCCCCGAGGAGCAGACCATGGGCTCCTACTGGACCGCTAGGGCTGCGGACATGAGGTCACCCATTCAGCACCCTCAGGTCCCGGCCAACAACTTTGAGGTGAGCACCTCCGTGATCACCATGCTGCGCGGTTCAGTAGTGTTCCGTGGTAAGGAGGGAGAGTGCCCTCGATCACATCTCAGGCGATTCCACGAGCTCATCGATGGAATCAAGATCAATGGGGTACCAGCAGATGCCATCCAGCTGAGGTACTTCCCATTCACTCTAGAGGGGCAGGCCAAGGAGTGGCTAGACACTCGATCTCCGGGCTCCATCACCACGTTCGCCAACCTGGCGGACAAGTTCCTCACCCGCTACCATCCTCCATCCAAGACAGCTGACCTGCAGAAGCAAATTACACATTTTGCTCAGGATGAGGATGAGACCATCAGGGATGTATGGGAGAGGTACAACAGTCTTTTCCTCAGGTGTCCCAATCATGGTTTCAACGATGCGTTCAAGGTGGGCACCTTCTATCACGCCCTCTTCCCGGAGGACAAGCAGCTGATCGATTCGGTTTGTGGCGGGAACATGCTGACCAAAACCCCGCCACAGCTGAATCAACTCTTTGAAGAGATGGCGGAGAATGGTTATGATTGGGGCACTGCCAGGAGATCGAGGAGAGCACCAGGCCGGGGTGTGCATGCTGTGGGCACCCAGTCATCTGATTTGGTGCAGGTAGTATCGAAGCTGGTCTTAGCTATCGATCGTTCCGGGATGATTCCAGGGACCGGACAGCAGCAGGCGATGCTCTGCCAGTGGTGCGAGAGCACCCATCATATGGTGGAAGACTGCCAGGCGATGAAGGAATCGACCACGCCCCAGGAGCAGGTGAACTTCATCAACAATGTCAGGCGCAATGACCCCTACAGCAACACGTACAATGAGGGGTGGCGCCAGCATCCTAACTTCTCCTGGACTGGGCCAAATCCCAGACCACCAGCTCCACAGGGACCACCGGGCTTCCAGAGGCCACCATATCAGCCCAGACAGGGGCAATTCCAGCAGCCAGGTGCAGCCCCTGCTGCCCCAGTGCAGAATGATCAGATGGCTGAACTGCGGGACTTGGTGGGTTCTCTTGCCAGTGTTAGTGCTCAGAAATTCAACACCTTTGAGCAATTCATGGAGAAGGCCTCGGGTCAACTCCTGGCTCTGGAAGCTGGTCAGAGGAATACACGGGCTATTTTGCAGGATATCCAGACCCAGCTGGGGAGCGTGGCCCAGGCAGTGGCTCAAAGGGCTCCTGGTACTCTACCAGGGCAGACCATCCCTCACCCGCCGACCCCGAATGAGCGCTGCAATGCCATCATGACCAGGAGTGGCAAGATGACTGTTGATCCCCCTGCTCGGGAACCGGAGAAAGAAAGCCCTGTCTTAGCGGCTCCAGCGGTTGAACAGGAAGTAGAAAAGGAAGTTGAGGTGCCTGCACCTAAACCGCAACCAGTAGTGAAGGAGTATGTCCCTAAACTCCCTTTCCCTACTCGGTTGCACAAAGACAGGCTGGAGGCAGAGTTCGAGAACTTCATGGCCATGCTTAAGAAGCTGAATGTCCAAGTGCCCTTCCTGGAGGCACTATCGCAAATGCCAAAGTATGCGAAGTTTCTGAAAGAGCTTCTCTCAAAGAAGCAGAAGCTGAGTGAGCTGGCCACGGTAGAGCTCAGCGAGGAATGCTCGGCTATTTTGCAAAACAAGCTTCCGCAGAAGAAGAAGGACCCAGGTAGTTTTACTATCCCGTGCTCTATTGATAAATTGCATGTAGAGAAGTCCTTGGCGGATTTAGGTGCTAGTATCAATGTTATTCCATATAAATTGTTCATGAAACTAGGCCTAGGTGAACCCCGTGCTACTAGGATGACCCTTCAATTAGCTGACAGATCTGTAGTGCATCCTAGGGGTATAGTGGAAGACCTTCTGGTTAAGGTTGGCAAATTCACATATCCCGTGGATTTTGTTATCTTGGACATCAGTGAGGACACAGAAGTGCCTCTTATACTGGGAAGGCCTTTCCTGGCCACCGCCAAGGCTCTCATAGATGTGCATGATGGGACCTTAGTTTTGAGGGATGGCGAGGAGCGAATAACGTTTTCTGTTGCTGATACTATACCTGCTTCGTCACCTCTGCATGCTGTATCTCACCAGGAGCACGAGTCTGTCGTGTATCCTTCTGTGCTGCCCATTTTGCAGGAACCGCCTCCCACACCTTCGCCGCCACTCCGGACCACTCCGTCACCCAAAGAACAGATCAAGGAGGAGTGGCGGCCGAAACTGCAGGCAGCTAAGCCTGCTCGAAAGAAAGTCGGAGACCACTATGACCTGGTCCCGCCCCCTCCTTGGCCATCCGAGTATTCACTCGCTTGCATCCTACCGGATGGCCAAGTCGAGCTGGCGAATGCAGGTGGCCACATTCGTCGCGTGCATGGCCACCATTTGAAGCTGTACCTCAAGAGCGATGTGGATCCGCTCTTGAAGGCACCTGATCCTACACTTCCCTGAGCATCCATACTGGCGTCCAGCTAAAAGACGGTAAAGAAGCGCTTGTGGGGAGGCAACCCCACCTCGGTTTGCATTTCTATCCTTTTTTCCTTTTAATTTTTGTCGTTTTCGAGTCATTGAGTCTGTTTGGAGTCTTACTGGAATGTTTCTCCTGCCCCGGATGGTCCATTTTGGTCTATGTTGGTGTATTTTTTGAACCGGGGCACGATTGGGTTTGGTTGTTCGAAATTGCAGCTCAAAAACTGGAGAAAAAGGGCCCTCGGCAGTAAAATTACGGGCAAGGGGGGAAGAATTACGGCCGTAATCCTTATTACCCATGCCCGTAATTCGATCAGAGGGGGAATACTGCTCTCGGCAGTAAAATTACGGGCAAGGCCAGGGGTAATTACGGCCGTAATTCTGCCCGTAATTACACCCGAGACCAGTTTCAAAAGTGCTCGGCCGGGACCCTCTCTCTCTCCCCCATTTTTTTTTTCAGACCAAATTCCCTCTCCTCTCACCGGAAACTCGAACCACCCTCTTCTAAGGTGGTTTTCCGGCCATATCTCACTCACCGGAGGTCCAAATCAAATTCCGAGACCACCCCCATGCTCCTCTCGTCGGCACCCACAAGTCTATACTAGTGGGGTTGAGTTTCGTGGTGGTTTGGGTCGCCGGAAAACCGCGACCCTTCGGTGTTCCTCCGGCCAAATCTCTCTCCTCCGACCTTCAATTGGAAAACCGCGACCACCACCGTGTTCCAGGTACCCGGGGCCTCATTCCCCAAAGTTTTGGGTCAGTTTGGCTCTGGTGAAGTCACCGGCGACGACACTCCGGCGAGCTTTCCGGCGAGCTCCCCGGCGATTTTCGTGTTCTCTCGTTTTTCCCTCACCTTCCCCGCGATATCTTCTTGTGCCTCCAGGTGTGCTTCTCTATTTTTACTTGTCATTTGTGGAGGATTGATATTGTGGGTTTAGTGAGGAAGTTCGGGGATTGGTTTGTGCTTTGCTTAATTCGGTAGGCCTCCTGTATTGCTTGCTGTGTTTGTTCATTCTTTGGGTGGCCTACCGAGTATATATGAGTCGTGGTTGCCCCGCTTGGAGCCTAATTTGCTGTCCGGATGTATGATCCGAGGGCTCCAAGTGCGTTTGAGTTGTGTGAATGGTGAATGTTTCAGATTGATTGTGAATGTTTTTCCCTTCCTGGGGCCTAGTCCACTGTCCGAACTTATGATTCGAGGGCCCCGGGTGAGGATGATTGTAACCTCACCATTGACGAATTTCCATGTATGTTGTTGGGTTTCTGCTGTTTTGTGGCTGCAGGAAGATGACAACCTACTTGGCCATGCTCGACGCCGACCAGAGGAAGATTCTGAAGGACATCCGACGCCGCAAACTAGTTAAGCACCATTACCTCGATTGGAGGGTTTTCGAGGAGCTGGGCGCTCGCGAGGCAATGGAGGCTGCCATCCGCGCTTACTCTTGGCGCCGCCTCCTCTGCCTCGCTGAGCCGACCTATCAGGAGCTTCTCTGGGAGTTCTACTCTACCTTCGAGCATTTCCAGACCCACGCGGGCTCACACGGCAACGCCATCCAGTTCCGACTCGGAGGGGAGTTTTACTCCCTGAGCTACGATGACTTTGGTCGGGCACTGGGGCTCCTTCCACCTTTCGCCTGTCACCTGGCGATCGAAGAGCCCGACAGTCCCATCTTTCGGGACCAGCAGTTCTTCGAGAGGATCTGCCTCCCGGAGTTCTCAGGCGCTGTTTTCACACCGGGCCACACCACGGCCACTCAGCTGCGCCCAGAGTGGCGCATCATCAACCAGCTGTTGGGGAAGTCTTACACCCCCAGCGAGGGCTCCACCAGTCATCTTCAGCTCCGCACCTTGCATTGCCTGCACTCCATGAGCCACGAGGTGGACAACCTCCATCTGTCCTCCCTCATCGCCAGGACTGTCGTCAGGGCTTCTCGGTGTGGTCGACCCCTGGCGTGTGGGCCGGTGGTCACTGCCCTGGCACGGTACTACAACATCAACCTCTCCAGGTTCACTCTCATCCAGGAGGCGAGTGCTGCTGCGGCCAGTCGGGCCAATCGTCGTCGGCGGAACACTCCTTCTGCGCCTGACGCCTCCACCTCTGCTGCCGGCCCATCTGCTGCCGCCCCCACCACTTACATTGCCGAGCAGCTGGCGGCCCTTTCCCGCCAGAATGAGCAGATCCTTCTTGGCCAGGAGCACCTCAACGCCCGCCTCGACCGTGAGCGCGAAGGTCGCCGCCGCATCATCTCAGCTCAGCATTACATGATGAGCTACTGGAACATGGATCCTGCTGCTGTTAGCTACCCTTGGGAGGCGTCCCCGGGGCATGAGGACAACTACCCGCCCCCGACCGGCGATGGAGGGGATGAGTACTGAGCTGGCTTTGCTAGCCCATCGAGTTGGGCTTCGCTTTTGTCTATCTTTCCAGACTTAGACTCCGTATTGTGTTTGGTTTTTATTCCTTGTTCCGTATTGTGTGGATTGTTGACTTGGAACTATGTTTTATTTCACCCCATGTGTGTGTTCTGTTGGTTCTAGCTCTGTGCCCGTCGGACTGGTCCTTGTCCAGTCCTCTGCTTTTGACTGGTCCGCCATCCAGTCAACGTTCCTGACCACTGTTTCACGGTAACATCGTTCCCCTTCCCTCGGCTCCATTGAGGACACTGTCGCATTTAAGTGTGGGGGGGTTCTTTGTATTTATTGGAACGTATATATGGGTGCTTGGAGCCTAGTCCGCTGTCCGAATCTTACGATTTGAGGGCTCCAAGTACTGCTGTTTGATCATATTGGCACTATGTTTTAATTGATGAATTGAACGGTTTTCGGATTAATGCATGACAACTTGGTGGTGACTAGGACAACCTATGATGAGGGCTGAGATGTGCAGTAGAACGATGTAGGGGTTCAGTTTTTAAACTGTGTGCTTACCAACTGTGACTTGATCTGATCACTTGTCTTGACAGTCGTTTATGCATCTAGTTCAGGGTATCAGAATGTGAGATAGAGCATATAGGTAGCCATGTGAGATTTGAGCCTGCTCGTTTCTTTCTTGTGCGATAGATCCCTCTTCCATGATGTGTAGCATTCACGTTGTCACTAGCTAGGATGATGGGGGCATAGGATTAGCCCACGACCAAATTTGACTGTCCTGATGTGTCATACCCTCTAGTCAGCCCCTTTGAGCCGTGTGTTATCCTTTCTTTTTGGTCTATAATGAAAAAATCACCCTTTTGCATCTTTTAGAAGGTTCCACAGAGTGGTTTTTTATATATTCTCTGCTGTTTCTGCTAAAGTCTATGTGAGTGTTGGAGGTAGTGCTTAAAAGTTGGGCAGGTGTTTGAAATATGTGCAGGAGTGGTGGCTCTCTTAAGAAATGAAAAGAAAAATAAAAGAAAAACAAAGAAAAATTGAAAGCAAAGAGAGCCACTACCAAAAATCTGAATAATGCCCAGTAAGTAGTGTTTCTTAGCAGTCTGGCTTGGAAATACTGACATTTATACCTCCTTCGCTCTTGTGCTATTGAGATATTGAGTAATGCAGAATAGCAGAAAGGAAATACCGGTTTGTTTGACTGTGATTGTTTGGGTTTGGAAATGTGGAACCTTGTGCTATGAATACTTCCACCACTTAAAAGGCCTTTTCCCCATGTCCAAGACCCTAGCCAGTCATTTGAACTTGTGTCTAAAACCTCCTGATTAGTTAGTGGTGACACCCCATATGTGAGCTCTAGCATTTAGAGGCTGCCATCATGGTGAAGAGATGATAGGGATTGAGAGAAATAGCATGCGCATCTTTCGCATCAAATTGTCCTGACCCCACTGGTCGAGAGTGAGTGATTCATTTTCATTTTCTATATGCTCTTGTACCCTGGTGAGGACCTAGATTGCTCGGTCTCTATTCTGATGTCATGAGTTGGATGCATGAGTTGACTGTTTTGAGTAAGTGGTTGAGTCAAGTCTAGGTTGGTTGGTGAACAGAAGGGAGACTCTTCCTTTACTTGATTTTGCTGCACTCGAATGTCCTTTGTGGTGGTTTTCCAGTTTGCTATTGAAGTTGGTCATGTATTGCTGTTTGGAAACCAGTTCGATTCACGTGTTCTGTGCCTTTATGACTTGTCCCCAATGTTTGGTGATTGAAATATGTGAGCTTACCTTGTGTCTGACTTGGTTTGCTTGGGGACAAGCAAACGGTTAAGTGTGGGGGAATTTGATAGCATCGTATTTGCACGTGTTTTCACTCGGATTTCTTGTCCATTTTGGCTCGAATTGATTGTTGCTTGGCCTATTTTACGCTAGGTTGTGTTGTTTTGCCATATTTCAGGTCCTAGCAAGTACAGAGGTGCATAGGCGCAAGTTTCAGGTCATTCGGAGGTCAGATGGCGAATCACAGAACGAATTACGGGCAGCCCCTGCCAAATTACGACCGTAATTGGTCAGGGCATGCCCGTAAAACAATTGCCGAGCCTTTTCCCCAGAATTTCCTCTCGGTGATAAAATTACGGGCAAGACTCCCAAGAATTACGACCGTAATTCACAAATTACTGGCGGTAATTGTGAAATTACGGGCGTATCTTCTCCTCCTTCAGCTTAATTGAAACGTGCGTTTTGGGGCGAATTACGGGCAGGACGTGATTACGGCCGTAATTCAGCCCGTAATTCGCCCAGAGTCGGGTTTTTGAGGCCAGAATCAAGCCAAGGAAGGGGAGATCGAATTTCTTGAGCAAAAACAGAGTTTTAGAGAGAGAAAGTGCGAAGAACTCACCCTAGAAGCCATCTTGGAGCTGGGTTTCATCAAATCAAGCTTGGAGATCGTCCTAGGAGTGGAAATCATCATCCCGGAGCAGATTATCCTCATCATTATGAGTATGACTACTCCGATTACTGTTTTCTTTTCTTTCTCTATGGAGTAGAACCTCTCTCTCACTTGGGGATGAAGAACCCTAGTTCTATGTGTTAGGGGATTGATTGTAATGACTTGGGATGATATTACTGTTTGATTATAATCGAATGATGCATGTTTATTGAGTCAATTGAAGTCTGATCAACTTTTCCTGATTCCTGCTGCAATCTGAGATAGATAGAATCTGATTAGGTTGCTAGAGTCTCATCATTCGATAGTAGGAGACTGGTTATACGAGAGTTAGCCAGTTTACTGCTTTGTACTGGAATCTAATTCCAGTAGTGAATTTCTGTTCTTACTGCTTCAGCTTTCTATCCCGGTGAAGACTAGTCGTCTGCCGGGTAGTTAGACTGAGAGGGCTTGGTCA